ACTGTGCCGACAGGCGCCCCCCGGGTCTGCGTACCGCTCGCCCATGCTGTGCGGGTCTGCGTGCCGCGCACCCCTGCTATGGGGGCTGGCGCAGCCCGAGCCTACGTACCGTGCACCCATGCTGTGCGGGCTGGCACGCCTGGGCCGCCTATGCACAGTCTGCCTGACTCTGTGCGGGCTGGCTTGCCCAAGGGCCACCCGCGGGCAATCTGCCTGGCTCTGTGCAGGTTGGCTCGCCCAGGGGCCTGTGCTGCGCGCCCCTGTTGGGCACCCTACACCTGCCTTCTGCTATCCAATGGAGGTTCTCTCCCAGTAATATTCCCTCATATACCGACACTTCGGAACACCCTCGGGGCACCTCCAATGTGCTGAACTGCGGTCCGTGACACAAGGACGGAGTTAGTCGACTTTTGTTGGGGGGTCAGAGATAGACAAATAAAAGTTAAAAATTTTAAAAACTAATATAGTAAACTTAATCAATAATCAAAAGATTGTTAATAAAAAATAATTTTATATAATATGTATGTTGTGCTTCACTATCTTTTTTGAATTTAAATTCATCAATTAAAAATTATATACTGAAAAAATTCATTTCTTTAAGTTTGAGTGTTAGACATTTTGATTCACATTACTCTTGTTCATGAGTGAAAGCATTAAAACTTAATGGCTCAAGTGTAGGAGAATCATTTGGAAGATTTGCATATTTTCTTTTAAAAAATATGTTAATTGTTTTCAACCTATTCATACTTTAATCAAACTTGAAAAAAAAATTAATGCATTTAACATCCAATATTTTTATTTTATTTCTATGTAAACTTATAATACTAAATATAAAACTATAATGCATAAAATATAAATAATAAAATACGATATATAAGATTAATAATTTTTTCTTATATAATTAAGATTATTCAAAGATTATATATTCAAGATAATTTCTTTTCAACTAAATATAAAATATAAAGTATATAAAAAAGATATACTCAAGATAATTTTCTTTTACATAATTAAGATTAATTAAAAAATGATACATTGATAAAATTTTAAGTAACAGTGCAATACTACAATTTATATTTTAAAATTATATAATAATTTATTAATTTTTAAATATTAAAATCATGAAAAATAAAATTCAAATAATAAAAAAAAAGACGAACATGACAAGTAGAAGATGAAACTCATATATGACATAATAAAGAAAATAGGGTTGATAGTTCATAGAAATATGAAAAAACAAATCTATAGAAATTTATAAGATATGAGTAAATAGTATAAAAAATATAAATATAAATAATAATATAACTTAAAAAATAAAAAAAATTAAAATTGAGTGAAGCATGTGAGATTTTTTTTTAATTTATATTAATTATTAAATAAAAAATTATTGAGAGGGCCATTAAGAGAACTAGAGCATTGCACACCTCTTTCTTCCTCTCTTTTTCTTTCTTCAATACGTTTCTTTTTATGACTTCCACGTAGGTAAAAAAGGAAGCGTTTTTCTTTCTACCTCTAGAAGCCTTGTTTACATGAAGAACGCTTGCAAACATGTTTAAGAAGTGTAAAACAAGATTACATGCACACTAACACACAAAGGGACAGCTGAAGACAACATCAAAGTAATTATTATAGCACAATACAGCAAAATTATATAAACTAAGAAAGTAAACTTAATTAAGGGTCAAACACTTGTTGTATGCAGGCAAGTATTACTTCTCAATACTTTTGAACTTAAGCATCTTTCCATGCAAGTAAGGTAAGTCCCTTAGGATATCGCTACTTTCTTTGTTCATCTTCTTTAGGTACACAGGTTGCATCCGCTCTCTGGAAATCATGTTTTTCCCATGAAAACGAAGACTTTAAAATTGTCCATAAGCACACTCAGCTTCTTATTGGGGTTTGTAATGCCAAATCGAATGTCATAATCTGTGCTTGTGAAGGGTAAGTGTTTTGTGGGAGTAGTTGAAATGCAAAAGGAGTCCACTTTAAAAACAAGATGGAGAGGGTGAATGAAACGCCATACGACGAAGTCGAGGAGGTTGATTATTGCAAACAATGACAGTATCGACAAGATCAGACGGCGGACTAAGAGGGACTTTCTTGAAATGTTGTTATTAAGCTGCAAAGCGTGAGAATTTTGGGATGTTATACTAAGAGATGCCAAAGTCTCCCAATGGCATGGACTCAGGCAAGAACAACTGTGCATTTAGTACAATCAATGTTGCTCAAATGTTTTTTTGGCAGCACTTCCTCAAACAAATAACCATCTACAAACTGAAAGTGCTCAACTGGCCCTTCAACAAAAATTATGACAGCTGCAGCACATGAACCTAAAAAAAACTAGCTCAAACTATTTGGAATCACCATCATGTTTGTGTTCCATCCTATTTACATAAGCAAAAGAAAAACCCTCAAATAACATTAGGCATCCACAAGCTAATGGATTTCTCAAAGCAAAAGCAACTCGCAGCGTTACCATAACCACGTGTAGAAACAAAGAGAAAACAGTTGCTTGGCGCCAATTTCCACATTCAAATGAAGAAGATGAATAGCCGCACGACTCGCTTAAAGTTGTTTCTTTTATTTTAATATTTTAATGCTATTTAATTTTTCCTTTTCTTTACAGCAAAACCCATGTGTTGTGGCATAGGTGAGTATGGCGGACAAGGCTGCAGGGTTGATAGTGCTCTCGGCTAATGGCTTAACGCTGTCCCCTTGCCGTTTTGGCTATATTATTCTGTCTTGTACGCGACTCTTTTAAAGGCTAAATGAAAGACCAAAACCCTAGATATTAGTTAAGCTTTAAATGAATTTTTTTTTTCATAAACATGGATGTGGGCATATGTAATTCCTTTTTTGGGCCTTAAAAGGTCCCAAAAATGCCGCACGGGAGAAAATGTTGTATAGTTTAATTACGAAATTGTCACCGCTTAAAACCCTGGCAGTGTGGCACTAAAATCTTGTCTCTCTTCCCCTTTTATCTCTGTAGCCGCCTCGCCACGCCCTCATGTCTCTTCTAACCATCAATTCTCTTTTTATTGTAATTTTCTTTCTTAACTGAAATTCGCAATCAGCCCCTCAATGCCGAAGAACAAAAGAGAACGAAACCAAAATCCGCAACCTTTTCTAGCGGATGACGATTCCGTCGCCTCCACAAAGAAACGCTCCAAAGCTGCCAAACACCACCAA